TGATTTGGGGCAGTAATGTAAGTATACTAAAATTATCTGAAAATTTAGTTGTGAAGATATTTGGAAACTTGGACAATTTTACTAGTCTTTTAAAATTCTTGTAGAATTTTATAAATTATATAACATCACATTAAGAGTGTAAGATAAATGCCACTTTCTCAACTGAGGGTCTGAAAGATTAATGGAGGAAAACTCCAGTTTTCTAAATTTAACTTGAGAAATACAATGACAGCTATCCATCTAATGGTTATACCTGGAAGCCCGCTAATTTGCAGAGGTTGCCAGATCCTTTAGTTCTTGGAAGAGGACTTTATCATTTTGAAAAAAACCGAAATTTGTAATTTCAAATGATTTTTTCTATATTTTCCCTCAATTAAACATAGTAATTTTGCCTCTTATGAACTTGGGACCTTGTGTTTGCAAGGCAGGTGGCAGAACCATGGAGCTAAATCTCCGGCCCTTTTTTGAGACAGGGTCTCACTTTGTAGTTCAAGATGGCCTTGAACTCACTATGTAGCCCAGGGTGGCCTCAAACTCATAGCGATCCTCCTGCCTCAGCCTTTCAAGTGCTGGGATTAGAGGTGTGGGCCACCAGTTTTTTATCGTATGTTTATGATACACAATAATTAGTCATTTTGGGGAACTGGAACACATCTGAAACCATTTTCATTTTCCCTTCCCCTCTTCTCACTCCTGTTTCCTATATTCAGATCTCCTTCCCATTTCCACAAAGTATGTTTCCTATCACCTTTTGCTATTTCTATTTTGGATTTCTCATATAAGAGAAACTATGCAATATTTTGTCTTCTGTGTCTGATTTGTTTCCCTGAACATTATGGTATGAATATACATCCATTTTCCTACAAATGACTCAAATTTATCCTGCAGTGACTTACAATGGCCTATTGGATTCCCCTTCAGCAAGGGTGGCTTCTCACATCTTCTGACCCTGGCTTTCAATAGGTAGACTTATGTGATTGACTGGTTCCAACATCCATCAAGCCTCTCCCACTCGAGGCTTTTATCTTCCCCTCTCCCCTCCCTTCTCTTCTTTGTCTCTGTCCCTCACACACTCAAAGCTCTCCCTCCCACTCCTGCCTGGGCATAAAAATAATACCATTGAAACTTTTTCCTTCCTCTTTTTGCTTTGATTTTGTTATGTCCTTTTATTTTACTTCTCCCTTTCCTTTTTCTCCTATTTCTCAGCCTATTCTCCAGCACTACTACTCCTTATCTTACAGGGTCAGTCAGAGTTTAAAACTTTTAAAACAAGTCTTAAATATCGATACACAATTCCTTCTTGGGGTACTGTCATTGCTGGCACTCGTTCGGCCCTTGGAAGGCAGTGGTAAGGACTGAACCTGGAACCAGATTAGACAGGGCCGGCGCATGCACACTACATCAGGCCCAGAGCCAAGGACACACTGAGGTACTAGCCACGTACTAAGGAGGTGTCTGTCTGCTCCAGCCACAGAGCTTTCTATCCCAACTGATCTACAACCATCAACTCAAGAATCACGACCAAAAAGGCAACGAGAATCCCAAATATTCCCCAAATTCTTAATTCCCTAAAGCTGCTTTTACAGGCACTGAAGCAGATGACTTTCAAAGAACACAGCAAGTAGCTAAAATAACTGAAGAGATCAGAGACCAACAGGCAGCCGTGCTGAAGGAATTATGAAGATGGTCAATAAACTTAAAGGTCTTTATTTTTCCAACCATGGTGAAGGATAATGATGCAGGATATAGTACTCTTAGGTTGGCAAGTATTTTCTTTTAAGGCTGAAAAAACTTCACTCCAAGCTCTCCTGGCCTTTAAGATTTCTGTTGAGAAATCTATCATTCTGATATGGTTACCTTTGTAAAGTATTTGGAATTTTTCTCTTAAAGAGATTTTAGCATTTTCTCTTTGTCCTAAATTTCTGGGATTTTGACTATGATGTGGTATGCAGAAATTCTTTATTGGTAATGTCTATTTGGGGTTCTAAATGCCTCACTGAACTGGCTATATCCATTTTACTCCCTAGATTTGGAACATTTTCTGAAATTTAGTGAATAAATTTTTTATACCATTGGATTCTTACTCTTCTATTCAATATAGCAATCAAACTTTAGCCAAAATGATCAGGAAAAATAAAAATAAAAAGGATAAGAATAGGAAAGGAGAAGTGGAGATACCCCAAAGAACTAAAACTTGAAATTGCATTAGACAAGACTGGGCGTGTTCAGGGTGGTATGGTTGTAGATGAGAAATTCCATTAGACTGAGTGATACCTCTTTCTGGGTATTTCCCAAAAGAGCTAAAGACATCGTACTGTATTACAGTGCTACTTGCACGCCCATGTTTACAGCCACGAAAATCACAATGGCTAAGCTTTGGGAGTAGCCTAAATGACCACAACGGAGTATAACATCAAGTGAAATAAATCAGACAGGCCTGGGGATCGAGCTCAGCGGTGCCCCGCCTGCCTCACAAGTGCAAGGTCCTGAGTTTGATCCCCGGTACCAAAAAAAGAAAAGCAAGAAATAAGTCCCATGTATGAAATTAAATATTGCCTGGTTTTTCTTATATGAGAAATCCAAATACAAATTAATCGAAGAGTTAAGTAAAGGAGAAATTGTAGGAAGCAAGGGAGGAGAAAGAGAAGGGGATCAGAGGCATGTTTAGGGGATATTTATCTATATTTTTCTCAATTCCCTAAAACAAATGCAACTATTACATATCACAAACATAGTAGCTTTAAAGACACACTGAACTTGCAGAAGGTTCTAAATTTATAGTGAAACTATAGATTAACTGCCTTTATTATGTATAAGTATACGAAACTTAAAATGTTAAATGGGTAATTTTTTAAATTTTTAAACCTTTTTATTGGTGCATTTTAGATATTTGTACGTGTACATATCTTTTTTTCCCATTCCCCTCCCCTCCTTTAACCTCTTTCCTCATTTACAAGTATTGTTTCCATTTTCCCCCTTCTATACTCTTTTCTTATCCTTTTTCCCCTCCCTTGTTCTTCTCATCTGAACACGTGCTTCCTATTTTCCAATATTTATTATACATTTTGGTCCTTATTTACACTTTTGGTTTCTCACACCAGAGAAAGTGGTATTTAAACGTATGTCTGATTTATTTTACTTAGTATGGTCTCAAGGTGCAACCATTTACCTAGAAATGTCTCAAGCATGTCCTTCATGACATAGTACTCCACTGTATTAAAAAACCATATCTTCTTTATCCACTCATCAGTTGATGGGCGTTTGGGCTGTATCCAAGATTTAGCTATTACCAATTGTGCTGCTATAAACTTGGGTGTGCACATACTGCTGTGGTATGATGCTTTTAATTCTTTCTGGAAGATACCAAGAAGGGGAATAGCTGGGTGGAATGGAACCTCTAGTTTTAGTTTTTTGAGGAATCTCCACACTGATTTTCATAGTGGCTGCATCCGTCCACACTTCCCCCAACAGTGGAAAAGTTTCCTTTTTCCCCACAGCCCTGCCAACGTTTGTTACTGATTGATTTCTTGATAACAGCCAGTCTTTCTGGGGTGAGATGGAATCTCAGCATTGTTTTAAATGGGTTATTTTATTTTATTTATTTTTGTATTGGGGATCAAATTTGGGCCCTTGCACTTGTGAGGCAGATGGTGGCACCACTGAGCTAAATCCCCAGCCCAAATGGGTAATTTTAAATCAGATGACATCAAATAAATAATGGATGTGGCCTAAACATTTGGGAAAGGAAAAGCATCCTTAAATGCTAATCTCACTAAATGGATGCATATTGAGGATATACTCTTAAGCGAAGTAAGTCACACACGTGTAAATACCAAATAGTATCTCTGGTATCAAAAACTATAACTGTACATAAGATCCTAATGGTATAATTGATAACGTGAAATAGGAAGAAAAGGGCTAAGGTGTAGGGGAAGTGGGAAGGGTAGGGAAAAGGAAATAAGGGAAAATAAAAAACATGAGAAAATGAAAAAATGGAAATAAAATATTTGTAAATAGGGAAGGGAGGAGGGGGTGAAGAGAGGGCAGGGACAAGGGGAAAAAATGAGAACTAAGACCTGTCATGTAAAGGTACAAGAGCCCAGTGATGAATGTACTGTATACCTAAAATCTACCAATAAACAATGAGAAAACAAACAAAAAAACCCCGAAAAACAATTTTCCCAAGGAATTTAACAATGATTGAATAGGGTCATTTAATTAAAAAATCCATATTTAAAACTTTTTCAAAAATGCTAATCTTACTATTGATAAAAATGTAACTTTTATTTCTTTTTCTGTTTTGGTACCGGAAATCAAACTCAGGGCTTTGTGCTTGTGAGGCAGGTGGCAGCACCACTGAGCTAAATCCCTGGCTCCTAAAAATGTAACTTTTAACAGTAAGTTTGTTTACTGTTAGAAGCAAGTAAGAAGTTTATATTCTATATTGCTATTAGACAGGGAATCAAATTAGCCTTTGCAAATTGTTTCAATTTACTCTCACCCAACAGAATTTATCACAAAAGAAACACAAGCAATACAGTGATAATTTAAATTTCACTACAGTCCTTTACCAAACTACCCACAGGCATCCTTCCCTGTGACATCTGTTTTATACTAACATCATAAAACATAAAAATGCATTAAATTCTGTAAGTAATTTTATTTACTTTTTTCAGTACTGGCAATTTAACCAAGGACTTTTGCACTGAACTACATCTCCAGCTCTTTTTTATTTTTTTCAAGACAGGATCTCATAAAGCTGCTAAATTGCCTGGGCTGGGCGTCAACGTTCTATCTTCTTGTGTGATCCTCCCAAGTCCTGGGATTACAGGCTTCTGTGTCACCACACCCAGCCAATTTTCCTACCTTTGATGCTTAAAAATATAAATGTTCCAAAAGGTGTGTCTATGGATTTAGTTTATTTGCTTGTCATCCTTCCAGTGTATGACTATTAAATAATTAAAAACCAGAACAAAGATGTGAACTCCAGGTTATGTGTGGAAATCGTTTAATGAACTCTGAAATAATAACAATAAACCTCCTGGCCAATATAGTTTTAAAATTTACTTAACAAAGGATTTTTAAAATGGACATGACGACTATTTTTGATTCAAATACGCAGCTTGAGTGTGTGCTTCAGCAGCACATATACAAATATGCATCTTGAAATCCTTAAACAAGTTTGAAATAAAGTTGTATTTTTAATTTTATAGAGACATTAATGTTATGCACAGGTTGCTAGATTTAAAAGGAAGAGTGATAAAGTAGAATATTTTAACAGCTAAGTCTGCTTGTAGAATCTGCTTAACTATATCAGTCTTGCTTCACCACAACTCTGTCTTACTGCTGTAGAACATTTTCTGAAGATGGGCACTCATGCTTTCCAAGGAAACTCTAGGGAGTCAAGAACAGAAGGCAGAAACTGATGTTAAAATGTGATGTTTACAGCAAACCCAACAGTCCAGAAAAGTGTGTAGTGTCTGTCAGGTGTCTGTCTCGTAGTGAGCCACCTATTTTCATGACTCGTTTAGAGCATATGTAACTATCATATGTACTCACTTACCATCAAGCTCTTTTCCTTGGTTAATTATATCACTGAACTGTCTCTCTTCTTTTTTTTGGGGTACTGGGGATCAAACTCAGAACCTTGTGCTTGTGAGGCTGGTGGCGGGACCAATGAGCTCAATCCCTGGCCCTATCACTGAATGCTTAAGAGATGAATACCGAAATAGATTACTGGCAGATGACGGGATTGTTTTTTTGAAGCTGCGCAAATAGCTTTTCTGAAGCTTGGAGAATATAACCAAGGAAGTAAAAAATTTCAAGTAACCTTTTGTTATGTGCCAGGAAGTCTATTAGCTGTTGCATGCATTTTATCATTTTGAAATGTCTCAACTGCTCTATGATTTCAATACTATCCCGGTCTCAGCTTGTTTTACTTATGGTATCTAGCACAGAGCTGGGCACACTGAGTTCACTGAATGCTAAGGCAAGATGGGCTGGAAGTGGGGATTAAGTTCAGGGTGGTTTGGCACAGGGAGCAGGCCTGTCCAGAGCAGGGTCTCAAGGGCTGGGGATTTAGCTCAGCGGTGCCACCACCTGCCTCACAAGCACAAGGTCCTGAGTTTGACGCCCCCCGCAAAAGAGCAGTGTCTGATGCATGAGCCATAAGCAGGCTACAAAAAGGTTATACTTCAAATTGCTGGTCTTTAAATATTTGTTCAGCATTTACTTGGTGAGGGCAAGGAAAAGCCAATTTTTCTTTAATGAAAATTGCACAATTTATGAGTGCTCAAAATAAGGAATATATATATGCACTAAGCTTAACATAATATTTTAACTTTTTAGAACTGACTTTAATTTTTCCCCTTGCTTGTAATTGAAGTATATTAGTAATTCATACTTGCTGAGGGGAGAAGGAACTGTCCATAGATAGAGACAATAAGTCTTGCTTAAATATATTTGAAAGGTCTTTTGGGAAAACGATTTCTACTTTTCAATAGTTCTTTTCTCACATCAGTTTTTTCCTATAACCTAGCAAGTTGTTTTTAAAAGAGATTTTAAATAAATTTTTTATCCCCTTCCCCCTTCAAGCCCCCTTCCCTCCCTATGTTCAAAAGCTTTGTTTCCATTTTTCCTTCTATTTTCACTTTTTTCTTGTCCCTTCCTTTCTTCCTCCCGCCTCCCTTGTTCCCCTTCCCATTTGAACACTTTCTTTCCATTTCACAACCTCCATTATACATTTCAGTCCTTATTTCCATTTTCAGTTTCTCACACCACAGAAACAATGCAGTATTTAAACACATGTGTCTGATTCATCCCACTTAAGAGTATGGTCTCAACATCCATCCATTTAGCTAGAAATATCTGAAGCTCTCATCCTTCTTTATTGCATAGTACTCCATTATATAAACAAACCACATCTTCTTTATTCACTCATCAGTTGACAGGCATTTAGACTGTTTCCAAGATGTAGCTATTACGAACTGTGCTGCTCTAAAATGGGTGTGCATATATCACTGTGGTATGATGCTTTTAATTCTTTCTGGAAGATACCAAAAAGAGAAATAGCTGGGTCAAATGGAACCTCTAGTTTTAAGTTTTCTGAAGAATCTTCACACTGATTTCCACAGTGTGCACCAGTCTACACTCCCACCAGCAGTGGAGAAGGGTTCCTTTCTCCCCACCTCCCCTCCAGCATTTGTTGTTGGCTGGTTTCTTGATAACAGCCATTCTTTCTGGAGTGAGATGGAATGTCACCATTGTTTTAATTTGCAACTCTTGAATGACCAGTGATGTTGAACATTTTTACATATTATTTCCCACTTCTAGTTCTTATCTGATGTGTCTTTTAATTTCAGATAACCATTTTTTTTTGCATTGGGTCTTTAAATTTTTTGCGGGTGTTAGTTCTTTATACATTCTAGATAATAGTCTTTTATCTGAACAGCTGGTAAAAAATTTTTTCCCACTCTATGGGTCGTCTCTTCACTCTATTGGTGGTTTCTCTTGCTGTGCAAAAGTTTTTAATAACTTGAGGCCCCAGTAGTTATTTGCAGTATTTTTCATGTGATCTGGGTTTTGTTCATGAAATCTTTGCCTAACCCTATGTCCTCAAGCATTCTACCTGTTCTCTCTTCCAGCAGATTATTTCTGTCTTAATATTTAGATCTCTGATCCATTTTGATTTTAGGTTAGTGTTTGGTGAAAGCTATAGGTCTAGTTTCAATCTCTGACATGTAGAAAGCCAGTTTTTCAGCACCATTTATTAAAGAGGCTGTCTTTTTCCAGTAAAGGTGTTCATCTCTTTTGTCAAAGATAAGGTGGCTGAGTGTGTTTAGAGTTGTCTCTGCATCCTCTAGTCTGTCCCATTGATCCTCAGGTCTGTTCTTTGCCAGTACCATGCCACTTTTATCACCGTAGCTTTGTAGTATAACTCAAAGTCAGGGATTGTGACACCTCCTGCTTTGTCTCTGTTGCCCAGAACTGCCTTTGCTATTCTAGGTCTCTTCTGGTTCCAAATGAATTTTAGGACAGTTTTTTTCTAATTCTATGAGATATGCTGCTGGGATTTGGATTGGGATTGCACTGAATATAACAGTTTTGGAAGTACGGCCATTTTCACTATATTGGTTCTTCCTTTCCAAGAACAAGGGGTTCTTTCCATTTTCTGATATCCTCTTCACTCTCTTCAGAGAACTGTATTTTTCAATGTAAAGGTCTTTTATTTCCTTCATTAGATTAATTACTAGGTATTTCATTTTCTAGGATGTTATTGTGAAAAGGACTTTCTCTAATTTCTCTCTCTGTAAATCTGTTGTTTGTGTACAGGAAGGCTACTGACTTTTGAGTGTTGACTTTGCATCCAACTATGCCACTGAATTTGGTTATGAAATCTAAAAGTGATTTTTTGGGGTCTTCTATATAGACAGTATCATGTCATCTGCAAATAATGATAATTCAACTTCTTCCTTTCATACCCTTATTCTTTTTATTTCTTTCTCTTGTCTAATTGCTCTGGCTAATGTTTCCAGAATTATATTGAACAAGAGTGGTAACAGTGGGCATCCTTGTCTTGTTCCTGATTTTAGAGTGAAAGCTTTCAGTTTTTGACCATTTAGTATGATGTTGGCTGTTAGTTTGTCATAGATGGTTTTTATCAGATTGAGACAAAGACCATCTATACCTATTTTCTGTAGGGTTTTTTTTCATGAATGGATGTTGAACCTTGTCAAATGCCTTTTCTGCATCTATTGAGAGGATCATATAGTTTTTGTCCTTGGCTCTGTTAATACAGGGTATTACATTTGTTGATTTGCGTATGTTGAACCATCCCTGCATCCCTGGGATGAATCCAACTTGGTCATGGTGTATGATCTTCTTGATGATTTGCTGCATTCTGTATACCAGTATCTTATTCAGCATTTTCTTTTTTTTTTTTTGGTACTAGGGATTGAACTCTGGACCTTGCACTTGTGAGACAGGTAGCAGCACCACTGAGCTAAATCCCTGGCCCTTATTGAGCATTTTTGCATCTATGTTCATTAAGGAGACTGGCCTGTAAATCTTTTTGGTTGGATCCTTCTTTGGATTTGGAATCAGGGTAATGCTTGCTTCCAGGACTGAATTTGAAAGCATTGCTTCCCTTTCAATTTCATTAAAGAGTATGAGGAATAGCAGCATTAGATCTTCTCTAAATTTCTTATAGGATTCAGCAGTGAATCTATCAGGACCAGGAGGACTTTTCTTTGTTGGTAGTTTTTAAATTACATATTCAATTTCATTGGCTGATATTGGTTTATTTTGAATTTCCTGTATCTTCTTGATTCAGCTTTCGTAATTCATATGTATCTAGGAATCTGTTCATTTCTTCTGTTTTTTCCATCTTATTAGAATAGTTTCTCAAAGTAGGTACTGATGATCTTCTGGATCTCTACAGGATCTGTTGTGATTTCACCCTCTTCATTCCTAACTACATGAATTTGAGTCTTTTCTTTCCTTCTTTTGACAAGGTTGGCTAAGAGCTTGTCAATTTTATTTAATCTTTCAAAGAACCAACTCTTGGGTTCACTGATTCTTTGTATTGTTTTCTTAGTCTCCATTGCATTAATTTCTTCTCTGATTTTATAATTTCCTCCCTTGTATGAGCTTTGGGCTTGACTTGTTCTTTTCGTAGAAGCTTGAGGTTCAACATTAGGTTTTTGAGCCTGCTCTATTTTCCTGATATGGGAATTCACCTTTATAAATTTCCCTCATAGGGGGCCATGGGTTTGGCTCAGTGATTCCACTACCTGCCTTGCAAGTGCAACCGCTGATCAAAAAAAAAAAAAAAATTCCCTCATAGGACTGCTTTCACTGAATCTCATAAATTCTGTTATGTTACACTGTCATTATTATTTAATTGTAAAAATTGTTTGATTTATTCTTTAATTTAATCTGTTACCCATTGGTTGTTCAGGAGGGTGTTATTTAATTTCCATGTATTTAAGAAGTTCTTATGGGGGCTGGGGATTTAGTTCAGTGGTTTGTGCGCCTACCTCATAAGCATAAGAACCCGTTTGATCCCCGGTACCAAACAAAAAAAAATTCTTTAAAAAAAAGTTATGGTTTCTTTTGCTGTTGATTTCCAATTTCATTGCACTATGGTCTGATAATATGAATGGGATTATTTCCTTTGTATTTACTTTAGCATGTTCTATGAGCTAGCACCTTGTTTGAGCGTCTTCTCATTTCCTATTTTTTAAAAAAGTTTGATGCCTGGGATGGGGATTTAGCTTAGTGGTTCTGCCTCCCAAGTGCAAGGTCCCAAGTTTGATCCCCCATACCAAAAAAAAAAAAAAAAAAAAGTAATAAAAAAAACCGTTTGAAGGGTTGGGGATTTAGCTAAGGGGTTT